ACCCTGTATATTGGAAAGTAATTTTAGAATGTGGACCTTTTAAACGTGAAAAACTTTCGTTGGACGAATTTTCTTGTAAACTTCATATTTACTGATATATCGCACTTTGACGCACTAATGAGCAACCCTGTATAGTAACATAGTATAGTTTAGTGAGATCATGAACAGCTACTGCGTGCATGACGTTAACTTCAAGCAGTGGCGGAACTTCGGATTTCGTCTCTCGTACCGTAATATGCTATTAACTGTCTTCAAAAAGCGGATGAAATTTCTATGAAAAACTTCTATATGAAAGTGGATGGAATCTTACTGTGGAATACTCAGTGTAAATTGTAACTTGATATAACATTAAGGCAAATTGGAATATTGAGCTGAGGAGTATACTAATAATTACCTAATAGCTTCTTTTTGACTACTGCGGCTTCTCCCCTCAATCTAACATTTAAATCCTGCTCCTCTTTGATGTCTTTTTCGTGAGACGCTTTCAATTCGTATACTTCCCTGTCACAGTCATCTTCGATTTGCTGCTTGATCATTTCGTGTTCTTTGACGAGTTTCACCACTTTCTCTTTCAACTAAAATTGAAACATGCCGATAAATTTGACTTGCTGCCCAATTTTGATCAACTTGCCTCTTCGACGGCGTTTTCTTTATCCTTTACTATTTCCAGATAGTTGTTTGTGATACATTCTTCGGATTCAGTTTTCGACTTTTTCAACTCTTCAAATTGTTGCTCTTGTTCTTTGAGCATTCGATTCATTTTTTCTTCAAATCTGTAAATTGGTAGAAGGTAGCGGTTTTAACGCTTAATTAAATAGGAACGTTTTACCTCATATATTTTTTGTATTCAACAATCAACTTTTCATTATAACTGGCTTCTAGTTTTTGAATATATAGTTCGTGATCGACTTTCGTTTTTGCAATTTGACTGTTTATATTATTCAGTTCTTGAATATGATCCGACTCCATTTGCTAAAATTTGTTTTGAATATATTACGTTCCATAAACGTACTTCTCTCTTTTTGGCTCATGCAGTTTAAAAATAATCTATTTGAAATTGACTACAATTACAGGCATTCACAGTTTCTCTGAAAAAATCAAGTTGTGCTGAAGTTATGCGATTAAATACTTTATTTGAGGGGGGGGTATTTGAATATTTGTAGTATTCTGTACAATATGTGTCAATTGACAGTTTGAGAGACTCATCGTCACGAGGCTGTATTTTCGTTAAATGCAGTACTAATTTGGCTCAGCGTTTCGACCTAACCCCTCCCCTTTTACGAGCTAACCCCTCCCAGTTAAATTATTTAAATCTCTAAAGCCCATATAAATGAGATTGCACAGTTCGTTCGATAAGGGACACCCTATACCTCGAAACCCCTTTCTCCCTTCCCCCTCAGCAAACCTAGCCAGAGGTACACAGGGCAAGCAATGCTTGGGCGGCATTCTTAAAATTACCTAGTCAATTTCGACAAATTCCAACTCAAATAAGCCTTTAAAGGCACTCACAAAAGAGCAAAAGTTCCGACAAACTAGCTCTAGCGGAAATGTCAGCAACACAGTTCGATAAGGGAAAGCCCCCTAACTCGCCCCCGCGCAAATCGCGTCCTGCAGCCTTAAAAGCCTCAACAACTTTTCCCCCTTTTAGTTTCAAAAGCCTCAAAACCGCCCAAAAGAACCACCACTAACGCAACACACCTCAGCCAAACTCCCCCAACACCCTCACCTAGGTATCCTCAAGGTACCAGCACAAAACACGCAAGGCCTTAAATGGCCAAGTCTAGTAAACATCCACGCACAGGTTCGATAAGGATGCGAATACATTTTCAATAATAAATATTTTGCAATATAATATAGTGCGCAAGAAGCGCTTATCAAACGATAATTTAAAATTCAAAAGTTCAAGCAAACAACCCGAATTGGAAAGAACAGTCTAAGATTTATTTAAAAATAAGCATCAGCAGAAAAAGTCGAGAAGTGAGCAATAGCGACACTCGGTATATATCGGGCACTTTTATATTATAATTTGTTGGATATAATGGGCGAGGTCTTTAATAGCCATCTTGACCTAAGCATATATAGATTTTTTTTGCTACTAATGGATAATTGTCTGATTCAGTCTGTGAGGATTGATTCAATTAGATTTTCAATTTCACATTAATTGTCGCAAGATTTAATAGCCTGACGTTCAATTGTTAAACTTCTGAGGTTAAACTGCCCAATATAAGTTTTTGGTCTCCAGAAAACAAATAATAGTTGTATGAAAAACTACTCAGCAAAGCCAAAAATTAGCAAATCTTAAAGGGTCGGTGATTTTAGAAGTGAAAATAGATAGAATCTCACTTGAACTAAGACAAGTGGGCGCGCTAAAAATAATGAAAAACGTAAACATCTTTTATTATTTATGTAGGGATTTTTTATTATTATTGTTGATCTAGAGAGAGAAATATAACTTCTCAATAGGGAAATGGAGTAAATAATGATGACTATTCAGGTTAGTAGTAAAAAAATAATAAACTAATAAATTCATGATCCCTAGACATACTATAGGACTTAGAATGTCTAAGGTTGGTATGCATAGTTGACCTTCGGCACGTTTCCGGATACTGTTTTGGCGGATTGCGAGCGTGCTGCCGCCGACGCAAAGGCGACGGATTTTCGTTGCAAAGTTGTTCTTTGGCCCATGCGTAATATGCTCCAAGGAAGGAGCTGGCGTTTCTCCCATAGAATGAGCATGCGTAATATCACTATTTTGGTGGCCCGCGCCGTCCACTTTTGCCGTATTATTATTAATCAACAGTTAGCTATCTCATGGAATCGTTTTAAAAGTCGGAGTCATAACACAGTCAAAGGGAGAAAATATATACGCCAAGTTAAGTTTGGTTCCCAAAAAAAAAATAATTTTGAACAACTTAAGAAGGAACTTACTAAGAACTTAAGCATTCAAAAAGAAAAATTACGATCTTTGCTTCAAATTACGAACATTTTTGATATGAAAAAAGTTTTTTTCTACAATTTTTTGATGAAAAGGCACAGCGGCAATGATGTTTTTTGTCATTAACAGATAGTTACAGGTGGATAGCTTTTATCAATAATAACAATGATTTGTCAAACTGTGACTTACTTTGAATTTCCCTTTACGAATTTGCGGATATGCGATTAGTTCAGGGGAAATGCTATAGTAAGATAGTAGAACCTGAAAAAACTCAAGCCAACAAAGGGCGAGGAGAGTGGTTCCAGGAAGATAGTGGACGATAGATGTTCGGGTTCCAAGCACAGAGGAACACGTATTGGACATAACCGAACCAGGGCCTTCCAGGGGCACTCAGAGCACAATAACTGACACTTTCTCAAGCCTACTTTTACTTTCCTACCACGTTTGTACGATACACATAGCACAAGGAGATACAAATGGAGCAGGAGTTAATTAACTGAATACAAGAAGCTGGTTGATAAGAGTGGATAATAAGGAGATTACACAGGCACTAGCGTGTTTCGAGTTAACCATTCAAATGTTTGCTGTTGTACGGTTTATTTATAAACACCCATATTCGAGGTTATGAGAACAGGTGTACATTTCGTCAAAAAAACTTGTTGAATTTACCGTTTATCCTTGTCTATCTTATTGTCAGTCTGTTTAATTCCATGGTTAGGCAGATTACCTTGAAAAACATTGCTGCCGTATTTCTGATATAGTTTTTTCCAAATTTCTCAGTTTTTAATAACCATTAATTTATTTTACTATTTTTTCTGTACTCTTATAACAGCGCCAAACAACACCTCCAGAGGAATGACGCCTATTTTGAATCACCCTGTATGTTGCCACCTTAAGCATTCATTTTGAATAATCATGAAAGAGAGAAAGTTCTTGAAAGGTTTATCAAAAATAGAAAATATAATAATTATTAATTTTTAGTATCACCATTTGAAACCTTACTGTAGGAAATCTACGACCGAAAATAAACGAATGCAGTTTTTACAAGACCACAAGCTCGAATGCAAAATTATCTGTTTATTTTGATGCACGAGTGTAATTTTGATGAATATATCCTGAGTAAACAAAGTAACTGTGGATTCATTTTATTTCTATTATATTTTATTACACTTTTACAGACGGACAGATTATCATACGAAGGAAATATTAATTTCAATGTTTCCAGTTTTTGTTGTGGGCTGAAAATTATTTCTTATGCTTTGGCAATATGATAATAAACATTATGAAAATATAGCAAGTTTCTGGCTACCCATTTATATTATTTCTAAATCAATGAAATTACTGACCTCATTTTTAATCTTCAATTCTTCAATTGCGTGACAATATTCTGAGTGAATGTCTTTCATTTTAAGTGAATGTACAGCATCATTCTGTCTCATTTGATACGAATGTTCTGTTTCCAACTCTTTCAATCTTAATGATAAATTCTTAATTTGATCCATCTTGTCTTCAAGAATTTCTCTAGATATTAAAATTTCGTTTGATGACGAAATTTCTTTGTCTAGTTTAATCGCCTTTTCCTCAATATTTCCCAATTTCCAGAAACATAGGCTGCCGTCTATAGCGCCAGTAATAAGGCAACGGTCGTCATAAGATAAATACATCTTAAATGTATTCAAATAATCAACAACAGAATAAATTAAATAGCTACTTTATATCAATTCAGACTTCGTCAATATTAATTTGAAATAAAAACATTCTTTTAATGTTTTTTATAAGTAGGCTTACCCCCGCAATTTTTCGCTTATGCATGGAAAATTCATTATATTCAGCTTTTTCTAGTAAAGGTATTTTTACACTGTATACTGTTCCTTGATTCCCAGTTATAAACAACATAGTATCTAACTGCGATAGAACAATTACATCCAATCCCGCTTGAGGTGGAACCAAGACTACATCTCTGAAATGAAATAGTAAATATTTACCTAGCGGTTCGAGGAGGCATATCACCAGGAATGGCACAATGTACTATTCAGAGAATGATGATGCCTCTCATCGATATGGAGTGTGAATAATTGTCGACAAGCGAGTGCAACTCGGTATCCAGTTTTGTCCCATTCTCAGACCGCATGGTTCTACTGAAACTGATCTCAAATAAAATTCCAGTAAATGTAATTCAAGTATATGTACGTACAGCAGATGACAAAGATGAAATAGAGTCGTTCTACCAATATCTAGATAAGGTGATCAAACCTATCAACAATCACTGATTATAATGAGGGATCTAAGTGCGAAGGTTGCCCAAGGGGAAGTGACTGGTACTATCCGAAAGTCGGGACTGGGTCGCAATGAACGAGGAGACAGATTGGTCGAGTTCTGTCAAGGGGAAGACATGATAATAACCAACACGTTTAATTATCTTTCTCCACGACGTCTTTCTACTTGAGAAGCACCATCAGACCGAAAATCAGGTTTAATTATAAACTAGATCGACTACATTATGATCCGTAGAAGATTCAGAAATACTATTAAGTCATTAAAAACATATCCAGGAGCTGATATAACATCCGATCATAATCCGGTGGTAGGTGCAATTCATGTAAAAATGAAAAGACTCGCTCGGAAAACAGCCAAGGCACCTATGGACCCTAGAAGACTAAAGGACAATGTAGTGTACAAGAATGTTGAGAATATCACAGACGACAAATTAAACGAACTAAGACGCAACGATAATTATAATATCACTATAGACCGACAATGGTAAAACATAAAATAGGTACTAAAGGATGTAGAAAATATCAGAATTGAAACCGATAAAAGGAAAGAACAGGGAATTGATGGCATAGGGGATACTGGACCTGATGATGATACGAGGTCAATCTAAGAACAAATCTGTGCAAATATATAAGACCTTAAACAATGACGTCAGAAGTAAAGTGAGGCAGGCCAAAGAAAAATGGCTACTTGATGAATGTCGAGAAGTTGAAGCCTATCAAGACAAACCATATTTTCCAATATGCACAAAAATATAAAAGAAATGACCGGGAGCCCAAAGAAACGTTAGCCAGATATGTTGGTAAACTGGAACGAGGACTTGATTGAAGAACCGATAGACAAAGTGGCAAGGTGGAGCGAATAAATCGGATTGAACTGGCCAACCCAGACATGGAGAGCAAACTCCATGCCTGGGTTCCATTACTATTTAAAAAAACAGAAGTTTATTTTTTATCTCGAAAATCAAGTTGACTCTGACAACGAGTGCAAGTTTGTTGGCTTCATCGCACAAAAGTTCTACCAAGGGCAATTTTAACTTTTTTTCTAAGTTAAGAAGTTTACGTAATATGTTATAATTAAAAAAGTGTTGATTTCTTGTCTTTTCTGAATATTTCAGGAACCAAGTCGGGTACCTAAATTTTGAAAACGGTAATGAATAAACAATCAAATTCTGCCAAATTTTGTCCGTTTAACGGGTCTTTAAAAATGTAAAAGTTACTCATACAAAGATTCAGAAAATATATATTCTCCATTCTATTGTATGGAATGGAGGCTTGGACACACACTGGAACATAGCAGCATTTGAAATGAGGTGTTATAGGAGGATGCTGAGAATTGCACGGGTTAACAAGGCTTCGAATGAGAAAGTACTCCGCCGAATGAATAAAGCCAAATAAATTAGTAACACCATAAAAAGACGAAAACTAGAATATCTTGGACATGCTCTGAGAGAAGATAGATATAACATCCTTAATGTAATTATGCAAGGTAAAATAGAAGGCTGAAGAAGAATCTCTTGGCTGTGCAACTTAAGGGAGTGTTTCATGTCTATGAAAAGTTAATGATCAATGATCTGTTTACAATTTACAAGTTATTAAATCACAACAGGTATTCGAAGTTCTGCCTCTTTAATTCCCCTATCCTTCACTCTTCGCAGCATTGCTGGGCTTATATTTTAAGCAGCATTCGGTTAACTAACTCCTGTTCAATTTGTATCGGGTTCGATTCCTGGTTTCTTTACGACAGTTTGCTTAATTTTCTCGGGTTTCAGCTGTATCGTGCCCATTCATGGCTTTTCTAAAACTGTCTTTTTTTTGAAGTTTTTGTTGGCAAGCTTTATTAAACCATAATTTAGTTTGTTTCTTTTTGATTGTCCTGATGGATTTTTCTGCTGTCTTTTTTATCGATTGATCAATATAGTTTCTTCTTATTTGCGTGCCGTCTCCAATCGCAGGTTGAATATAATTACTGCTATTCTTACTTTATTTGCCGATATTCTGAAAAGTTCTATTGAGCTACAACGAGACTCCCTCAAATCCCTCAAATTTCTCAACCGTGAAATTCTCCTTCTACCAATGCTCCTTCTTCCCTTTATATTTCTATATTCTTTTTGAACCCTTTCTATTGGTTGGCCCCATAAATTTATGTTTGATATTTGGTCTGTCTTAAGTCCATATTGTTCACGAAATGTACGAGTTCTGTAGAATAGTGTTTGGAGATCTTCAGCGGAGGTTGCTATAATCGCTGTGTCGTCTGCAAAATTTAAATTGTTTATAATCTTTCCGTTTACCATTATTTCCTCATTTTCACATAGTAGTGGCTCATCAGAAATTGATTCACTGTATACGTTGAAGAGAAGGGGAACATAACACATCCTTGTCTCACTCTTCTCCTTATTTACATTTCTGGTCTTTCTTTATTATTCACTATTATTTGTGCGAGTTGATTCCAATAAAGATTTGTTATTATTCTTAATTCTCCGTTGTCCATGTTTTTTGTTTGGAGAATTTTGACTAGTTTTTAGTGTCTCATCGTATTGTACGTAATAGATATGAATATCCATATTTATGTCTTAACACCTCTGTGCTTACACATTTAGTAAAAACAACGTTTCTCTCGTGCCTAGTCCGTTTCTTCTTGTCTTCCTCTATCATCTCCAAGCAACTCGTTGATATATTCAATTCATCTCCTTAGTTTTTTATTTGTATCTAAAGTTAGCCTTCCGTTTACATCCTTACTCCTGGTTTTCTTTTCGCTCATGCTTTCTCTGGTACTTCTGGATTTCTTGGCACTGCTCCTTTAGCAATTTTTATTTTGCTTGTTTAGTTTCATCCTTTATCTGATTGTCTATCTCTCTATACTTCGTATTATCTTTGTTTCAAAATGTCTCGTTTCATCCATTAACTGAAGGATCCTTCAGTTCTGTGATCTCCTTGTTTCTTTTTATGTGGTTTTGGTGTTGTACTCCCTTTTAACTCTAGTTATTTCTGTACTCATTAGAATACATTTTTCTTCTATTTCAGTGCTTTGGAGAATTTCCTCATTCACATTCGTAAGTATTCTTTTGATCTCTTCTGTCAAAAGTACTGATAGTACGAGCTAAGGAGATAAGTAAAATATGCTGTTGTTTTGTGGGCGATGCGTCGAGCAATGCTTCGGCTGATCTAGCGCTCGCCCGGTCGCCCAGGCTATGCTTCAGGAGTTGACGGAGAGGTAAAAGCCAGGAGGTAGTGCAGGATGGGAGAACTCAGAGCTTACTGGTGCTTCCCATCCCCCCGCTAGTTGGTTGGATGGATGGTTCCAAGGAGGAACCGGTTTGGTGTTTCTGTGATATTTCAATTTTGGTTGGAAACGGAGGAGTGAAGACCTAAAGGCGTAAGCTAGGGGGGTCGAAGAGAGGCTTTAAATCTATCACATGTCCTTCCCTGTCTGCTGGCGATCTCTATGTGTCAAGTCTTCATTTGGGTAATTTGAACAGTATACTTGCAGCTACAAAATTGTTGCTTTGCTAGAATTGAACAAGTCTATAACCTCTCTCGTTCCTAACCCTCAGTCCATAGCCACCCGTGCACTTATTAACCGCTTTCTCTCATATTTTTGCATTAAAATCTCCCATTATGAGTTGCACATCTTCTGTTTAAGTGAATTTTAGGACATTTTCCAAATCTTCGGAAAACGTTTCTATGTAGTTATATGGTTTCTGTTGGGGCGTAAACCTGTATGATGTTTGTTTTCATATTACTTGAGCTCAGTTGGATCATTAAAATTCGATATGAATATGGAGCGAAATCTGTTACTGATTGGTTTATGTTTCCGTTCAGTGTTACGCCTACTCCATATCGGTGTGAACCGTCTTTACATCCTGAATATAACCATATGCGTTTCATTATCTAGCATTATCTTTCCGGCATCGGGCCAGTGAGCGTAGCTAATGCCCAGTTCATCTATCTTTAGTCTTTATTAAATTATATATTTTTCTTGATTGGTACAAACTCCCAACGTTCCGAGTCGCTATGTTGTAATACTTTTGCAGGTTGACGACCGCGGAGGCCTTGCCATCTTGAGATCTTCCTCCCCTGTCGGATATTGGTACCCGCTTCCCTTCACCAGTAAAATAATTCAGATTTTTCGTAGCCGTAATGAATAATACTAGGGAACAATAATTGAGTAGTTTCCCGTGGCCTCCCCGCTTCCAATGCCGTTGACACTTAGAATGAGTTCCACAAGCCTTCAACATCCAATGTGCCATCTTCATTCTCAATGAGTTTCTGTTCTAGTTCTTGTTCGTATTTTTGTTATCTTGCTGGATTTTGTAGTTGCTCTAGGTTTCATTGTGCGGTTTGGTTAGTTTTGTGTTTTTTTCTAACGCGATATTCTGATTTTGAGTTTGGCTTTTACCAGAAGAAGAATCTATATGTCCGTGTACTCCTCTAAAGCTTCTTGCATCTAGAACACTGATCCCATGCCTGGCACCCACCACGACATGATCAATTTGGTTACGGGTCACATGATTTTTGGATGCCCAGGTTTGTTTATGGATGTCCTTATGAGAGAATATATTGTGGATTTGATCAGTATGTTTAGAAGTTATTTCTAGTAGTCTTTGTCGTTGTTTGAAATATTGTGAAAACTATGTTGACCTATTGTCGGCATTAAACTGAGTTCTTTGCCTATTTCTGCGTTCAAATCCCCGCATTTAATATCATATTCGGTTTGGACAGGCTTTCTACTGTTCTTTCAAGCAAATCGTAGAACCAGTCCTCAGTGACTTTGTCCTTGTCTTCTGTAGGAGGAAATACTCATAATAAGGATATGTTATACCAATGTGCCTTTAATCCAATGTGCCTATCAGTTATGGGTTCAAATCGGGGACCACTGTTTACCAGCTGCTCTTGATGACAATGACGAAACCATTTCCGGACTCAGGTCGCTCATTCTGATTTACACTGAAAAATACCGCAGATTTACTAATTTTTAGGTTTCCGCTGTCATGCCATCTAATCTCTTCTACCGCCACTATGTTCATTTCTGCTTTTCCAGTTGTTGTATGGCACTGTTAGTAGCTCCTGTTCTGTACCAGCCCTGTACGTTCCATGTTCCAATGCTCATAATCCATTTCCTTTGCTAGTGTTGTCAAATTATTGAAATTATTGAAAAATTAATTGCTAAAAATGTATTAATAATTTATTAAACGTTAACGCTCTGTAGATCAGTTACTAATAAGTTTTCGAAAAAGTTTTATAGGAATTTGTGCCATTCATTTTAGACGAAAAACTACTTCGTGAAGTGTTGGTCGCATCATTTCCGTACACCCTGTCTCAGAGCCAAAATACAACAACCTATACGTGACTGTGTGTGAAGGTGTTAACATCTTCAATAAACGAACTTCTTTCACATTTATTTAAGCAGTTCATTTCCATTCAAATATTCGTAGTAATTACCTATGCACATTCGAGTTTACTAACTCTCTGACATGTCCATCTTCACCAACTGCATATGTTTCTTTGCCACATTGCGTGATGGCTACACCAGTAAATGGATTCGACTTAATTATAGTTTCCGATAATCTGGCAGCCTCGCAAACATCCCAAACATAAACTGCTCCTTCGGAACCGCAAGATGCCAAAAGACGATCGTCTTTACTCCATGACATACAACGTATCTGCAAAAATAAATTATGACATGAGTTTGTCCACATCAAAAGAGCGACTCTAGGGGCACTTCATCTAAAGATCGTCAAAAAGGAGGTACTTGCATTTAAAGAGGTTGGCAAAAGTTTACACAATAATTTTTTTAAATACAGGTGCATTCATATCATACACAGTGCAGAGGACCTCAAAGCATATCAGTTTTTGCATGACCTTTCCTTTCATAATGCTTACCGTTGTATTGGCTTCCGAAGTAATGTGTATAAAACTGTATATAAAACTATTTGGAAAAATATCGAAGATCGATATCCAGAGAGAGAGCAATTCAGAATGTGTATTTGTTTAATTAACGACTTTATTTAGCAGCAATCGGAAGTCGTTGTTTCTCAATACAAGGTAATTAATATAAACTCCTGGAAAAATTAACGCATCAGCAGAACTTCTCATTATTTTTTGCAATATTTCGAAGATTCCAATGATTAAAAATTGTGTGTGGTTGCCCTGGGATATCCTTCGTCACTACTGATAAACAACAAATTTTTTTAGCAGGCGTCAAGAGCAGTCTGTAATTGCTTGTGAATAGGGCATGTAACGCTGTTTGAAGTGATTTTTAAATGACAAAAAATTAAGTTTTTTTCTATTTTGTTTAAAAGTTAATGTCATTTATTAAATGACGTTTTGTCTCAGAGTATACAATATGAATCGTCCGCGCAACTTAACAGAATATGAAGCAGTAAAAGCGATAACTCTAATTAACGAAAACGATATAATTTGTTAGAAGTAAGGCAATCAATCAACAATTAGCCGAACTGTATAAAGTTACTGTAGAGGCAAAGGGCAAGGTCGTAAGAAGTATAAAGATATCTTATGCAAGTTGCTTTAAGAAACAGACGTTCTACCAGTTTAGAGCTAAGCAGAGCACTAGCGGAAGCTCGTAATGTAATAATTTCTGCACGAACGGTCAGGAGAAAGCTCAATGAAAGAGGACTGAAAGAAGACCGGCTCTATGCCCTCTGGTGAGCAGTGGTTACCAGAGAACATAGAGTTGCTAGACTGAGTTTTGCTAAGGAACAGAGAAATTGGACACTTAACAACTGGAAGAAAGTTTTCTTCTCGGATGAAACAAGAGTAAGTATTAAGTCACCAGATGGGTGGGGCCAGACGTGAGTGCGTCTAGCCAAGGCAATGAGAGAGGTTTGCTGCCTGTAACATATTTCGGAGCATACCGTTTTTGGTGGATCAGAAAAGCGCTGGGGCGGAATCTGCTTTAATGGTCAGCTGAGGAAATTGATGTTTCAAAAAAATATTTTAAACTTCAAGTGTATAAAGCTGAATTGGCTCAAGAGCTAAAGCCAAAAGACCATGGGCAACGAAAAGCTTTTGTTGATTGGACTTTGGGACAACGACAATTGGACGGTGATTTTCCAACGAAAATTATCTTTAGTGATGAAGCCCAGTTTCATTTTGATAGCTTCGTTAATCGACAAAATTGTCGCATTTAGAGTTTCGAAAATTCGCGATTGATCGTTTAGAAACAGATGCATCCAAAAGGAGTCACTGTTTGGTCTGCATTGTGGGCTGGAGGCATCATCGGACCATTTTTCCACCAGGAAAATGCAGTTGGTCAAGCATTAACCGTGAGTGGTTTTCCTTACCGTGAAATGTTAACTAACTTTTTGTGTCAAAGTTGCAAAATATGGATGCATGTAGCAGCATGTAGTTTCAACAGGACGGTGCAACATTCCGTACAGCCAGAAAAACTGTTGAATTACTACACGAGTGCTGCTAGTGTTATTTCTCGTTTTGGAGATTGGCATTGGCCGCCCAGATCATGCGATTTAACTCCTTTGGACTTTTTTCTTTGAGGGTTTTTTAAAGTTACAAGTTCATGTGAACACACCAACAACGATGGAAGTCTTAAAAGATAAAATTCAACGCTGTATCTCTGAAATACTGCAAAATTTAGGCGCAATAGTCCTTCAATTTTTTTTTTGCAAATAATGGATCTCAACAGCATGTAGTTTCAGCGGTACGGTACAACATTTAGTACAGCCCGAAAAACTATTGAATTACTGTACGAGTCATTTCCTGGTCGTGTTATTTCTCGTTTTGGAGATCGGCATTGGCTGCTCAGATCATGCGATCTAGTGCTATTGGACTTTTTTCTTTGGAATTTTTGAAAGTCACAAGTTTACGTGAACAAACCAACTACGATTGAAGTCTTAAAAGGTGAAATTCAACGCTGTATCTCTGAAATACTGCAAAATTTATGCGCAATAGTCCTTGAAAATTTCGTGAAGAGAAAAGGACGTCTGTCCCAGCAAAGGCGAGGCGGTCATTTGTCCGATGTCTTGTTCCATTCATAACCGCATGATGTGTACTTCATTTTTGAAAAGTTGTTTCAAACTTATGCCACAAATATATATATATGTTTTATGTAAAATTTAAATTTGTAGTTCTTATTGGAGCACTTTTTATGAATCTTAAGGAACTAGAGAAAGACGTTCTTATCGAATGGGCAAATATTCCCCAACAGACCAATTAAAATTTGATTAACAGCAAGCCCAGACGAATGCTATAATATAGCATTAATAAGAATTAGAGGAGGATCAACACTAAATTGAAATTCTTGCCATTTAATTTAAGTTTAATAGTTTTTTTGAAACATTTTTTTGATGTTTTTTTGCACTTGAAATTATTGTTTGTTTCTGTTTGTTAACTGATTTTTTTCAGATTCAACCATTACAATTTCTCAAACCAAAATTAGTAAAAACCATTTTATTGCAGCATTACGTAGGTTGTTAGATTTAATACTTAAAAAAAATAAAGGAAATAATGGAAACTTTTGATAATTCCCTTTTGATGCGTTAATTTTGCTCAGGAGTTTATTAATCAACTCCAATTGTCTACATATTTTTGTGACAAATTCATGCAAATTGCCAAAGCAGTAAAAGATCCAAACCTCACAAGCAAATTTGTTCTATTTTATTTATAAAATATGCTTCATATAAATGGAATAAATAAATGTTTAAGGTTTAGTTATTAAGAACAAAGTCTGTATACGCACCTGGAAGATACACGAGTAATTTACATTTTCCTTACCTTTCCATTATGCCCTTTAAGAACATACATTAACTCGAAACTGACGCTTGAATAAACTTGAATAATATTGCCATTGGTACTAGCAAAGAAGTGTCCCATACGACTAAAGCATGAGAGCTTGCATCCTCGTATGCTGAATTCCTTAGTAGTTATAATGTCATCGATCATTATAGTCATGTAACGCAATTTATCTGAGAAACCAATTACGCAGTAAAGACCTGTAGGGTGCAGAGCCACCGAGTGAATGTCGTCTTCAAAATTTTGTACCAGCTCTATATCGCAAGTTTCGTAATTCCATATTTTTAAAGAGCGGTCCTTCGCTCCTAAAAACAAAAGTTCTAGTATATCTAGCTAGCCCTTTGGCCTTGAGCTGGCAAACCAGAAGTCATGCAAATCGGTTTCCACTTGCATATCGACATGCTTCCAATAGGTCCCAAGTGCAAAGGATAGCCGTATTCATTCATGATTGATTCATTTCCTCCTCCGGATCCGTCTTGCTGAATCCATAACCGGGCTTGATAAATTTGTGTCTCATTACATGTTGCTATCAAACGGTCCTAATAACAATAAATACCTGCGAATCCTAACTATCATCAAAAGAAATATGGTCCCATGTGCATGTAAATATGTAGCCCGCTTCTAGCCCTTTTATAGTCTGTTCATTCGCATACAAGGACCTAGTTATTCTCTATTTCAATTCGAAAAATGATAGATACCCTAGTAGAAATCGGAACTATTTAATTGGTTAGCAAACTACCCAGTAAACACAAAACGCTCTGCCGGGAGACGGGCCACTGCAGAAATGCTGTAAGCTCGGCTTCGAGCCAACACTCGGCAAACTACACGGCTATATCTGTCCGCCCGTCCGACAGACGGCTGAGCGAGGAGAATTTTCCAACGGCAGGCCACAACCTACCCCCTTCCGACCTCTTCCGCGTTTTGATATTTTAGATGTCGTGTAGAATCGGAACCTACCAGGTTGATGCCTGCCATCACCATAATTTTTTACATTTTCTGTCACTTTACAGAACATTTTTAATAAGCGCAATTGGGTATGGGATCAAAATACCGAATGCACAATTTTGCAGACTGCAAAAGTTGACTTATTTATCAACACTAAATTGATTGATTTAACAAAATATTGATTTAACAGAAGATATTTCTATTTGAATGTTCATAAGGTAGTGTACTTCTTCTTCTTGCTCTTATATTAGGATTGTATCCTGTTTTTCATCAACATCATAGCTTCAGTTTTGCCGCTGGACTCCAGCTCTCATACCAGCGGGTTGGTGGTCGTCCCGGGGGGCTTTTTGAACGTGGTACTATCTCTCTGACAATTTTTGCCAGTCTGGTGTTACCCATCCATCAACGTGGTCTCTCCACTCTCGTTTCCTGTTGCGAGATCTCACGAAGTCTTGGATATCGCACTTAGTTCTTATGTCGTCGCTTCTTACATGATTCAGTAGGCTACATCCCACTATAGATCCTAGTGTTCTCATTTCAGTTGTTCTCAGAAGCCGTTTAGTTAGGACATTTTCAGCTGGGCGATTAGCACGGCGTCGTCGGCATAGCATATCACCTTTATTTTTTCATCACAGGTAAAGTAATACGCATAAATATATAACGTTAAAAGATATGTACAAACAGTAATGAAAACAATACCAATAAATGCAAAAATAGATGAAATATATTAGTGTCTTTATCGAGTATCGCATAGGTATGGTAAGCGGCTGTATCTTGGAAAGTAGTTGTTGTAGAGGGTTCGAAAGACAAAATTGATAAAAAATTAGATAAAAAGAATTTGCTGAAAATTATTTTGAAATTTATCAGATAACCGCGAGATGGCAAAAGTGCAAACGGTGTTTTAAATAGTCGATATTATACAGAAATTGTCCCGTTAAGTGGAGCGTTGTTAAAAGTAGCATTTCAAAATTACTTATTTCTAGAATTTATTTAATTCCAACAAAGCAACTGTAGGTACAGGGTTATTGATTGAACTTTGGCCACCCCGTTTTTGCACCTAGTTTAAAATTTAGAGAAAAATGTTAAATACAAAAGTTGTAGATATTAACGTTCAGTTTATTTAAAGGTAATATCGATTGATACAGGATGTCTCAAATTTACGTGGCAGAATAAACTTACAATTTTTTAAATGGAATGCCGCACTTTTTATTGCATACTCGAACTATTCGCACAATTCAAGGCCTATTCGATATAAATGTTCTCTAATGATTTTCAACTGGTTTTGAGTTAATAACCAATATTAATTGAACTTTGGCCACACCGTTTTTGAATCTAATTTGAAATATAGAGAAAAATATGAGACACAAAACTTGTAAATATTAACGTCTAGGTTATTATTAGATAATACCAATTGATACAGGGTGTCTCAAACTCGTAGCGGTAGAAACTTACATTTTTTTAAATAGAATCGCGCACTTTTTATTTCATATTCCAACTAAACGTACAATTCTAGGCCTATTCCATATAAATTTTCTATATTGATCTTCAAGTTTTTTTGAGTTAATAACCCTTTAACTATTCGGGCATTCCATTTATAAAAATTTGAGTTTGGTCAGGCACTTGAATTTGAGACATTTTGTATCAATTGATGTTATCTTACAATAAACTAGACATTAATATCTATACGTTTTGTAGAGAACATTTTTCTCTTAATTTAAAATTAGATGCAAAAACGGGGTGGCCAAAGTTCAATCAATATTGGATGTTAACTCAAAAACAGTTGAAAATCATTAGAGAACATTTATATAGAATAAGCTTTGAATTCTGCAAATAGTTCGAATATGCAATAAAAAGTATGGCATTCCATTTAAAAAAAACATAAGTTTGGTCTGCCACTTGAATTTGAGACACCCTCTATCAATTGGCATTACCTTAAAATAAACGGGACCTTAATATATCTCACGTCAAAAGTGTATCTGTGATATAACTTTTGTATTAAACATTTTTCTCTAATTTTCAAATTAGATGCACAAACGGGGTGGCCAAAGTTCAATCAATATTGGTTATTATATATTACACAATATTTATACAATATTTATATCGAATAGGCCGAGAATTGTGCGAATAGTTCGAATATGTAATAAAAAGTACGGCATTTCATTTAAAAAAGTTTTGTCTGCCGCTTAAATTTGACACACCCTGTATCAATAGGTATTATCTTAAAATAAACTAGACGTTAATATCTACAACTTTTGTAATTAACATTTTTCTTTAATTTTCAAATTAGATGCAAAAACGGGGTGGCCAATGTTCAATCAATAACCCTGTACAATTATGTGGTCGCTTATGCCGATGATTATTTTAATATAAGACGTAGTATCGCTTCTGCTATGATCAGCATGATTTAACTATAAAAGAAGCCACAGCAAAATCAAGAATTTAGTCATTAGATGTTTGGTCAGCAGTCATAAGAACCTAGTCTCAGGTAGTCTACAGTCAATCTAAGTCTGTCTAAAGAGGGTCTTAAGATATACGAGTCATAAGTCATAGTTAAGGTTCGGTTACAACTAAAATCTATTGTTTGTATTAGTTTGGAAATAAACTGTTTTTAAAAAACAAACTTTCAAATTAATCAATAAAATTTTACTCATTTTAAAAACGAGAAGCAATAATAATTAATAAGTTCATCTAAGTTTAACACTCTGCTGTAGCTCTAAAATAAACGTTAAAATAATAAACGTTCAAAAAGTTTCCGTCATTCGCCACATACATATCTGTCCTATGGTTAGTGCCAAATACAGCACATTCAATTTCGGTTTGTGGAATGCTATTGATGGCATGGTATCTGTGATACGATGTTTGCTCGAGTTGTGGGAACAGTTTTGTAAACTATACCTTTGAATCTTCTCCAAAGATGAAAATCCAACACAGTTAGATCTGGAGCTGGTTATGGGAATATACTACCTCTTCCTATCCAGCGATTGGGAAAAGTTCTATCTAAAAGGTCGATTACATTTATGAAATAGTGAGCAGGACATCTATCTTGTTGAAACCACATGGTTCTTCTTGCTTCCAGTCAACTTTTTCTAACAATCCAAGTTCACTTGTTAAAAATTGTAAATAATTATCTTCATTAAGAGATTCGTTGAAAACAAAATGACCTATTATTTTGCGTTCAACAATGCCAAAGATTCACTTTTCACCTATTTTGACGATAAACTGACGTCTCAACCAGTGGGGATTATCGGTTGATGAATAATGCCCATTATGTAAGTTCACTGATCCCGTATTGCTAAAAGTAGCTTTATCAGTCCACAAAATGCGTGATAAAAACTAATTATTTTCTGTGTACATTTTCTTTAAGCGGAAATTTGTCTTGTTGTTAACTGCGGATTGACTTGCATATAAGCTCAAACATTAATAACGTTTTCCTCAGTCTTTGCTCTTTTTCTTCGTAAAGGACCGCGTACGGTGTAGACACTACCAGTTTCATAAAACCGTTTTGTTAGCCGCTTATTTGTTCGTCTTTCTACCAGGGTATATTAGCAAATCACATTCTATCAAACATACATTTTCAAAAGACTGAAAATACATTTTACCACATCAAACATACTAGCTACCATCTAAGGAAGCTCCATTTACGCATTGTAAACTAACGCACGGTAAACCAAACGCACAGTTCTGTCATCATTCATCAGAATATAAACGTCGTATCTTGTTTAAAAAAATACTTACCCTACCTAAAAGTGAGTCTAATGGTTTAAAAGCAAGAAGTCCGATATTTTGTCCGAAAATAACATTAAAACTACGGAAAAATGTACCTTATTGAATATTTGTTTATGAACGTATGACGTTTCAATTTGTAATTCTGGGATGCTGTCAAATTTTTAATCGGTGTGACAACTGACATATTTAAAAGTATACAAATTTATCTTTTAGTTCTAGTAGTCCTTACCTGTGCAGAATTCACTTTTATTGAATTTATTGCAGTTTTGATTTCTTTAGGACCATCATCGTATTCTCTATAAATAGTTTTATCTGGAATTCGGAAAAGAGCTCGCTTTCTAAACTTATGTGGTGTTTCTCGTTCATACAGATGAATTCTCCCTATGACAAATGTTTAAAATGCAATAATAAACACCGTTTCCACAACTTTGTAGTACCATTCATAAATCCAAACGCCAAACCGCGTGGAAAATTATGTATAGAGCGAATTTCATAATTCTCATTCTCGTCTTCCACAAAGTTTACGCTGTCGAGTGATGAGGATTTCATGCTGGTTTGTGAGCCTTGATCTAACCTAAACTCAGATTCATAAATTAACTAAATATGCTACAATTACTTCATGCAATAACGAATGCTCGATAATTGAAAGTTTATTTTTTCATAGTCCTTAAATCGAGTAGTTACCAACTGCCTTGGAACTAGTATTTTCGAGTGGCAATACTTCAGCTAAAATTAATTTTCTTTGATTGAGCTATTATTAAGCAATAAAAACAAATTAAAAACCCATTTTTTAATAATTAAAAGAAGAATATTTACAGTAGGTTAGAAAATCCATTCTTCTTGAACCTTCAGAAGGCAAAGGTTTCAAGAAGGCAAAGATCTAAAAGAACGTTGACTTTTACCAACCATGAGTTTGTGTAAATTTTAAATCTGATGATGGCGCTGTTGTCTCGCCGAAACGTATTGCAATAAACGATGTTGAAAATTTTTCTTCACTCTTTGACAGACCCAGGAAAGATAAGAATATCATAACATAGCTTAACAAGGAATAAACCTTTATTAGTATATTAATTGATTGCTATAACAACCGACGGCGCGGCGTACAAAAAACTTCAGTTTTTTTCCAAAATAGACAGTAACTTGGAAATAGTATATTACGATACAAGAGACAAAAGTCGAAGTACCGCCACTGCTTGAAGTTAACGCCGGAGGCAAAGCTCAGGGTGCCATTGATGCAGTGGCGGGCTTTCGACTTTCGTCTCGCGTACTGTATACCGTTTCCGGTGGGAGCCCTGTATATTCAACTATATAGATATCATATCGACTTCTCATATTTTATGAGGATTTTGTCCCCTAAGAAAACGTGACGACAAATTAATACTTTTAACGTTTCTATCACGCTGGAAACGCTAAAATACATCATTACGTAACTGGTCGGATTCGCACTCCTTTGCTCTGGCTGGCGCCGGCTGGTTTTAGCACCGATGAGAGGTAGTGGGCGTGTCCTAGGCCTTTTACTGATTGACACTGATAAATGACTGAAGATTAAAGGTCGAAGCAAAATGGGTTTTGGCTTTTTTTCAGGAAGATAATTTTTTCTAATTAAATGCCCCTCGAATAAATTCAAAACCGGCACTTCAAGATTATCTCCTGACAATGTCGTTCGTATTGTCAGCTCGGGAATGTCGATGTCAGGGCACTCCCCAGGTAATGGACGACTTAGCGCGCCTATTTAGACCATGGGCAAAGAGATCAACCGGCGTTGGCCATGTTGTAACTTTGTATGCATTACACCAATGTAAATATTTACTAAATTAATTGCTATCTAGATATCTCAATTTGGAATTAGAAAAGCCCGGGGAACTGGAAAGGCAATATTTCATAACAAGTTCTAGTGCAACGCTGTAGGGATACGAACCGTTGTTTTATATATTTCGTTTAAAGCTTTTGTCAGAGTAAAACACACAAGATTGGTAGAAATAATGAGGTATGCAGCTTACGTGAATATAGCAGGCAACAAAGCAGAATAGGTGACGGTCCAAAGAGGCGTAAGTCAGGCGTGCATCTTATCGCCGACCTTATTTAACGTCTACTCTGAAAAGATATTTAGAGCGGCACTGGAAGACTTTCCTGAAGGGGCTACAATGAACGGCGAAAACATAAACAACATCAGATACACAGATGATACTGTTATTCTCGCAAGTAGCCTCAGCCTCAGCGTCAGCAGATCTTCTAACTCTGCTTGGGAAAAGTAAAACAACGAGACTTAACCTTAACACCTCTATCTGTGAAAAAACGAATCAATGGTAAATGCAAACTGGGATTAACCCGTAGAAATTAGATGCAGAATAGAGAAGGCAAGAAATGCATTCAATAAAAAAAAATATTTTTCCTCAGCGGAAATGGGTTTGCATCTGGGATTCAGCCCACATCTGAAAATAATAGTGGTCAGATGTTACATAGTCCTTTTGTACGGCGTTGAGGCGTAGACCATGACAGAAACCTTGATGAGAAAGCTCGAAGCCTTCGAAATGTCGATATACCGAAGAATTCTGCGCATCTCATGGATCGAACATGTAACTAACAAAGAAGTACTTAGAAGAATGGAAAAAACGATAGAGGTAGCATTCACAATGAAAAGAAAAAAAATAAAGTACTTCGGACATATTATGAGGAACAATAAATATCGATTATTACAACTTGTTCTACAGAGAAAAGTCGACGGCAGAAGAGGACCAAGAAAAAGAAGGAACCCGGGGCTGCAAAACCTACACTAGTGATTTGGGATGACATCCGAGATAACTATTTAATTTTAATTAACTATTTAAAGGGATTTATATTGGTCTTTCTTCGGTGGATACTATATTTTGTGCATTGACAGAGTTTGGCATTTACTCAAATTATTTTAGACATTTTTTCAAGTGTACGTTGTCTATCAACAATGAGACATTGCCGACAGCATCTATTAATGGAACCCACTGCATAACTAATGAATTAACTTAGTTATTGATTTGCAACTTTATATGTACTTACGTTTTATTCTTCTTTGTCCTTTGTGAAAGCAATGAAAATAATTACAACTTTACATAAGATAGTACAATAAAGATACACAATGTTAAATTGAGTGTAGATTTGAAAAAGGCCATTTTATAGGTTAATAAATTACTAATAATCAGTATAAATTGGTCAGGAAATGTTGTGTCCTTGTCGATCTATAGATTGTTGGTCAGAAAATATGTAGTTTTTCAGCTACTTTTTTGCTTTTGTCCATTTAATTGAACAGCTATAACACAAAATGTTATCAGATATGAATCGTGTGGCGATGTTGTTATGCCCCCGAGAGATATAACTCATTTTTGTAAATTTGAAAATTGCTGATAACTGTAATTTTGTGAAATATTTTATATTCTGTAACAGTTTCGCCGCATCAGAAGATGTTGGCGGGAGCATGTCGAAGGAATGGACTCCGAAAGAATATCCAAGATTGTGTCGAATGGAAATCCAGCTGGTAAAATACCTATCGGAAGACCACCGAAAAGATGGAAGAATAGTTGGACATCCATATTACAGGAGAATCAACAACATTGACCAGACGAAATAAACAGAACAAAAGCTCTTTAAAAAGAATAATAAGAAGAACATTGCCGCTTCTTGAAATGTAACCCAGTGGGATACATTTCATGTAACCTAATTGGTCCTTTTAAAGGGACTCTTAACAGCAAATAAAAAAATAACATTTTTGAAAATTACAACTGGCCATGATTTAAAAACATCATAAGATTTTCGAAATATCTATTTTTATGACAAAATTAATTTCGAAAACCGTATGTGAATATCTCTAACAATTTTAGAGATACAGGGGTTTTCCAGAAATCTGCAATTTGGGAAATGCTCTCTAACTCGTTTTCTGTGATTTTTTATCACATTTTTTGTGATTTTCTTCGGAAACATTTCCAAGGCATCTTTTCACGTGCTATCCGATAGTTTAAATTTCATTTGCGGTAAGGAAATATTTTCCCAATTATTAACAAACAATACAGTTTAAATGGGGTACTCTATACAGGGTGATTCAAAATTGGCGTCATTCTTCTGGAGGTGTTATCTGGCGGTGTTTTAGGAGTACAGAACAAATAGTATAAAAAATTAATTGTTATTAAAAACTGAGAAATTTGCAAAAAACTATATTAGAAAAACGGCAACAATATTTTTCAATGTAATTTGCTTAATTAACGTTACGTAAATACCTTCGTAATTATTTAAAACTCCGGTAATCATGGATAAATAGAGAAAGTAACAGTAAGATAGACAAACAATAAAAGGAATGGTGGAATGACGGAACCTATTTTGAAACTCATAACCTCGAATTATTAATTTGTTTACAAATTGAAAAAACATACATTTGAGTCTGTAACTCCAAACAAGTGCCTGTTTAATCACCTTATTATGCACCCTTCTCGAGCAGCTTCTCGTATTCGGTTAATTAACTCCTGCTCAATTTATACTGGTGTTCAGTAATCTATTGGTTTAATTACATACGTGGTGCCTTTTGCTGGTTCTTATAGCTTCTGCTATGTTACAATGGAATTTCCACATAACTAATCGCATATTTGCAAATTCAATGTTTGTCTACATTTTGTGAAAAGAGCTTGACAAATGTTTGTTATTATTGTTAATGACAAAAAACATCATTGCCGCTTTGCAAAAACATCAAAGCCTGCGGGCACTTGGACTCGAGATCGGATACTACGTGAAAAAGTGCTTTGGAAATGTTTCCGACTGCAGTTAGAAAAAAATCACAGAAAAAGAGTTAGAGAACGTTTTCCAAATTGCAGATTTCTGGAAGCACCTTGTATCTTTAAAATTGTTAGAGATATTGACATACGGTCGGGGTCAGACACCGACATCAGTTTTTGTTTATCGGGTATGGTAATAAGAACTTCCGTTTAAAAGTTTCCAATTTGGCCCTCTCTGTACAGAGTCACTGGATCAGCAATTTTGAACGGTTTGAGCACCATTGATGCAATTTCTAGAATCTCAGAAATTATACAGGTCAGGCTTCAAATTCCCTTCCCTTTGCTGACTGTAGAACTGAACTTTTATGAAACAAAAAAAAACAATGCATATAGCAATATTTATAATTCGATTAAAAGACATAACACGAGTATTAATTTATAATAAATAAAAATAGACAAAAATAAAGGCCATCGGTTTCATATTTTAGTTATTTATAAAATTTAAACTTGCAGATTTTCCTGATATTTAATAAGCTATTGTCTGAAAAGTGAATGGCATTATTATTATCCGCTAGTCTATTTGCATGTAATATTCTTTTATAAAATATATGCGGTTTTAATAGCTATTATTTTTGTAGTTTCCTATTATTTTTGTCTGAAAATGTATTTTCATACAACGGACATACCATAATGTAAATTTATTTTTATGTTAAAAAGTCGCAGATGGTTTTTACACTTGCAAACTCGCTTTAGAACACTGCCATTATAGTTGATGAAACATTAATAATTTTATTTGCCTTGGTTAGAGAACATTTTGAGCTTCGCTAATTAAAACATACATTTGCATTTTGACGTATAAAGCCCATGTCCCATGTATCTGTTTCCACGATGATACGATGATCCGTTCGTACGACGACGGACGAATTGACAGATCTCCAACCAATAGAAACACTTTTGTATCATCGTATAAACGGATGCATGAGACAGAGACTTTACTCATGCGAATTATCCGATGAATTCTAAAGTTATGGATGACCTGTTTATGACATTGTAATGGTGCGAATGCGTATATGTCTATCTGTTGTTACTTACTCTTCTTTCAGATTCATATTAATTATGGGCAAATCCATCGCATGAAAAACGGCTCGCACTTCTCCTGTTTCCAAAATGATAATTTTTCCTTTATTACTGCCGACCATTAACCTATCTTGAGACAGCCAGCAACAGCTAGTATAGCTGACTACATCGAATTTATTATAGCCAAATTGCCTCCATGTGTAGTCTGAACATCCTAAACAGCGCAAGACTGATTCTCCAATGACAGCCAATTGGTTTGCATCGTTTGGATTACATGCTACCTATCGAAAATAGTATTTTTAATAATCTGTTGAAAAAATTGAATACAGAAAAAACAATTGTATGGGATAAGGGCATAAGATACTTTCATACTGCATTTCTTACTTCAGTATTTTGCTCCACATATAGTTTTTTCGAGAAATGTAGATTGTTAATGTCTTTCATAATACATTAATATTGAGTAAGTGCAGAAATAGACAGCAACTAGAGTCCAAGCCGATGTGAATACATTGGCATTATAAAGTGCAGGTTTCGAAATCGCTAATTTAATAGCCAATAGAACCGTAAGATACAGGGCAGCAGCAATGAAGAACTAAAGAAAGAGCCCACAACTTCCTGGAACGACATAATGTGGACGTGTACCTAGACCACGAAACGCTCTTGAAACATGGAGCAAGGTTCACACTTCCAAACCAGAAGATGCACAGATATGATAGGCCACTAGGAGCGGAGGCACACTAGTCGCAGTGAAAATGTTCATACAACACCACGAGATCGTTAAACCGTATACACGTCTGGAGGAATCCATAGTTGCTGTCCAAATCGAAGAGTTGGAGATCAGAGTTGGAATGGAGGATGTTGGAGGGCTTTTTCCAAATGTTAGGCCAACGATACATGGCGGGGACAATGCCAAAACCTATAATTGCGGATGCAACTACAACATCCTAGATGCATCATGCTATCAAACCAAGATATAAGATATATAAAAATCCCGGACTTCCCAAAGCACCGTGATGAGAGTTTAAAGAAAACACAAATTCCATCCTTATAAATTATCAGTTTCCTAAACTTTACATCCAGGGGATGAGGAGCTGCGTCTGAATTTTTGTCAAAAGTCTCTAAACAAATGCCAACAAGACATACAATTTCCTCATAAAATATTGTGTACCGATAAACTGGATTTACGTATGTTTAATCTACATAATGAACATCTTTGAAATCAAACCAATCCCCACGTTGAGCAAAGAAGACCACAAATAAAATTTGGGTTTAACGATTGGAGCGGAACGGTAGGTTTAAAAATTCTTGGACCATTTACTTTTCAATGCACCTTAAATGGTGGTCGGTATCTTCAATTCCTTCGGAATAACCTGGATTTTATGTTGGACGACCTAGATTTAAAACATGGTGTAATGTGCAGTGGTTTCAGCATGATGGCGCTCCGATTATATTGATACGAAAATATTGATGATCGGTCCTTAAGAAAAGCAAATTATTCAGTTTCAATGCGTTGCAATGTTTTCCTTGATAATAATGGTGGACTTTTTGAAAATGCTGTACAATAAAACTTAAAGTTTCTAGAGTTAAATTTAAATTATTATTGGTATGATTTGATTTTTACAATAAACACTTTAAGTGATCAGCCGTCTTAATTAAAATAAAGTTATTGCCAACTTTAACGTAGTTGTCAAAATAAATACTGTAACATACTGTTATCATTTGTTACTATGGAAACAATGATGTATGTCTTATAGTAGTTTCCAGGGCGACACTTTATTTTTGAAAAAAAACGAACGATGTGATGCATCACATCACATTAAATTGTAATAAAATGTCCTATTCGATAAAGCAATAATCAAGTATGGTTGCCATTTAGAAAACCCAATATTTGTGAAATTTGTCAAAAATTATAGTTATTTTGGAGAAATGTCTTATACCATTTTGTTTGAAATTTATTTTCCTACAAGATTTCTATTTAATGTTTTCCTGTCAAATTAATATCCACAGCACTAGGAGTAATTTACCATAAATAAGTTTCTCCCAAATATCTTTTGACAGCTGTCCAAATTTAGAAATATAAAATTGGTTTGGAGTTGAACATTCAAAACCACAATTCTTTGTCCATTTGATCTTCTTCGTGATTGCTCTAGTTTTGAAGATCCCTGTATTAGTTATCGAAAAAACTCACCCAGCAGATAGTCTAAATAAACCAAAGAAATCCGTGTTTCGCGGATAATATACGGGGTGATTCAAAATTAGCGTCATTCCTTTTAAGGGGTGATAGAGGCTCCCTTGGGGAGTACCAGGAAGGAGTACGAGAAAGAAGAAATTTCTAGAAGATATTAACAGTTGAAGATCGAATTTCAACTTTGTCATTAAGCATTATTTTGTTAATGTTATTAATTTATGTTATTAATTGCTCCATGTTTATTGGTAGCATATTGGAATACTTAAGCATTCAAAAACAAAAATTGCGGTCTTTGCTTCAAATTGCGAAAAATTTTGATATAAATAAAATCATTTCTATAATTTTTTGATGAAAAGGAACAGCGGCACTGACGTTTTTTGTCATTAACAGATAGTTACAGGTGGATAGCCCTTGTCAATCATAACAATAATTTGTCAAACTGTGACTTACTGTGAATTTCTTTTCACGAATTTGCGGATATGCGATTAGTTTGGGGGAAATGCTACAGTAACATAGCAAAGCTAAAAGAACTCACAACAAAGGGCGAGGAGAG